AGGAGAAATTAAATGGTAATGTTAATCAGATAGGTGGTTTTATAAAAAGCATATGTCAGAGCATTGTTTACAAGAATGATAATTTTCTGATTTTGTCTTCTCATTTTGTATTAAATTTTTTACGTAATCATTTCAGATTAAAACCTGCATCCAACTTTTTAGTTTCAATAGTATTCAACCAGAAGCATTTTTTTATCAATATTCTTAATAATCCTAGAATTTTCATACTTGTGTATAAACAAAGGCATCAGCTTTTCACTTCCCATTACGTTACATATGAGTAGGATCATTACACAATCCTTTGATTGTTTTTTTCTGATGTTTGTTCATTGGATTATTGGATATCGTTCGACATAGTTTCATCTTCTAAAATAGTCCTATTTCATCATAATTGAATATATCTTCAGGACTATATTCTTTTAATATTTACCAGAGATTCTCTCTTATTATTTTAAGATCTTTGAGCAGCGCATTCACAGCTTCCTCATGTATATAGTACTGTTTAAAGTTGTGTCATTTTTAAAGTTATCTACCCAACCACTAGACCCTTTAAACTTATCCTCTTTTAATAAAAAGCAAACTCAAGGCTTTTGTTGAAAGAATATTGTCAGTAATAATAAGGCTAGCTTTGAGTGCATTAATTACCCATATTACTAATGCTTCTTCAATGAGAGAGAATAGAGTTTTTTTATTACATTTCAAATTGGCTTAGTATAAATTGGTATTCACAGAAAGCCTACGGTCTTTCTTCTTTAGTAAAATTTATTTTAAGCAAAACTTCGTTGTATCAAAAAAAAATTCGTTATAGAGAAAATTCGTTTTAAAAAGAATCATTTTAATTTTTTTAACTTTAATTCGTTAAACATAGTATGAATTTTTAATTACTAAATTCAGTATAGTAAGGGTTTTTTTATATTTAAAAATCTGTCTAATACTGAAAATCCATTATATTGTAAAATTTATTATATCAAAATTTGTTGTAGAAAGAGTTGACTGTATAATCTAAATAATATGATCTAATTATCATATATAATCTTAATACTATGATCTAAATATCATATATAATCTAACACTTTTATTATTTTTTTTATATCTCTTTATGTTCTAACTATGTCTTTAAATCTTTTTTGATATTCGTATTTTTTATGTTAATATATTTTTATTATCACAATATAATCTAATTCCTACATACATATAATCTAAATACTACATTTTTCTTTTTATTTCTGAGTCATTTACATACTAAATTCTATAATAGGATTGTTGACTTTCTGTAGTTGTTTAGATACCTGATTTTATATCGAGATGCTAACCTCTTATGCCTAATTGGATATTGAATTCTATATTGAAGTGCTTACTCTTTACGCTTGTTTAATTGTCTATTAAAATACCAAATTGTGATAAAAAAATCATGTCTAGTGATGCAGTAATTCAATGTAAATCTGCATCTAAATTTGGCTAGTACTATAGCATAATTCAGGCCAATTTTGCGTCTGAGGTTGAAGATGCAATATGTATTATTATAGCCAGCTCATTTATTCTCTAAATGTCATTATTAAGAATATGTTTATTTCCGTTTCTTTTGTCAACCTGCTAAAAAATTAGTGATTCACCAAAGCAGAATTATTATAAGAAAAAGAAATAAGAAATTTTGCTTTGGTAGAACACTTTATGATAGGTAAAAATAAAGTTCTGAAAATGACTCGCATAAACTCGTATATTTGACTCATATGATTATGCATAATTGTAAATTTTAGTTATACATAATAAATTAGTACTTTAAATTAAAAGTATGTAGAATAATTTTGACTCAAAACTCAACTCAACTCGACTCATTAGGAACACTAGGCAAGAAAGAGCTGAAAAAAAGCTTTACATCTAATATAATACTCTGAAATAGAGACAGCTTTAGACAATACACGTACATATTATCATAAAATTGCAAGAGAGTATCAGATACCACTTTCTGGCTCAGTCAAGGTAGTATAAAAAAAGGTGACAGGTGGCGTAGTAAATTTGCGATTAATTTTGGCTGAAACTATGCTATAATTTCAACTGATCTTTAGGACACGTGATTTAAAGATCTAGCTCAGCACTATGATAATGCTGTGATAGTGTTATGGAACTGTCGTAAAACTAGTAGATTATTTAGCTATTTTTTTGAGTATCCTAAGGTAGAAATTTTACTGAACCACTTCCTAATACAGATTTTGTTATAGGAGAAAGTGTTCTTTTCTCGATTTAACTTATTCTTGTATTATCTTTTCTAGATTCCTTATATGTCCTAGTAAAATAAAGTTCTAGGGATAAAAATCAAAATTTTTTTATATATGGGATATGTATTATATATATATATAATATGTGTATAGTATATACCAATATGCCTATAGATAAAATATAAAAATAAAAAGTAAAAAAATCTGAAATTTTCTAGGCCATCTAGGGCATCTAGGGCAAACTGTCTGAAAAATGTTCCTTCTGTTCTGAGAATGGAAATTTGCTATTTTTCTCCTGCCTCTGAAAGTCAAAAATTTTCTAAGGCAGATTTTTTTAAGACATTTAATTTCTTCTTATGGTAGTATATTTTTGAATAATACTTATTTACATATAAATTATATATACCATAGATTGAGGTAGTTGGTTTTCCACATTATTTGCAAGAGTTTTGTTAGCATCTTTTCCAATAAATTTTGCATTCTTCTTGTCAGTTACAAGCTCGTCCGCATATATTCCCTTCATTAAAAAGATATTAGTAAATAAATTCAGCTCTCATTGGGTATCTCTTATATTTCTATATTTATTTTTTATTTAAACTTTTTTTCTAGAACAGTATATCATGAGTTTAGGATATTGTATAACTTTCAAAAATTATTTAAAAATGACCTATTCTGAGCTTTCAGAGTTTCTAGACACATCCGTCCTTTTTCACCCAAAGGCTGAAAAAATTTAATGAAAGGTCAGGTAATTTGCTATTCTGGTAAAAAATACTTGTTGAGCATCTTAAGTCTGGATGATATAGTTGCAAAAAATAATGAGGGATTAATCGTAATCCTTGATGATGCTCTATCCAGTTGTGAAAAAATTCTATTAATGGTTATTGATAGTGAAGGGTTATCAAAAAAGATAAAAGAAATATACTATTATATATTACATTTTTATAGTCACCTTATTAATAGCCAAAAGGTTCTGGTAACTCTTATAAAAATTCAGGTTTTCTTTGATATTCTTGTATCAGACAGAGAAGACTTCAGATAAATGTGAAGAAAAAGTGAGTAAAATTCTCTCTGGCATTGTGAAATCATATAAAATAGAGCACATTAAAGCATTCCCTTTTCATGAATACTATACAGAAAAAAAATATATTTACAAATTTATACAAATGGTACTGGAGGGAGAAAGGAAGCCATTCAAACTATCCAAGAAAATAATTTTGAAACTGCTTCATATGATTTATACTCATTCCACTGAAAAATGATTCAAGAAAATGAAATTCAACTCTCTAAGTGGTCTACATTAAACAAATATATACACAAAAAAGACAAACGGATCAGTTTACTCTGTTCACACAAATTTTATATGTCTATAAAAGATTTCTGTCTACTAGAGAATTTAGAACAATAAGTGATCAATTTTCTATTTCAGCTCTCTTATGGGATCATATTCTTATCCTCACATAGGATATAGAGATGCAATCACAAGAGTTAGGTGAATTTGCTGAAGTTCTTGATCTGAATCATAATGTTTTTATGATTTGTATGACATTGCATTGGAAAGATGATTCAAAGCCACTAAAGCAAATATGTCTTGTCGACATTACGACAGAATCAGATCCATGTAGGATCACAATCATATATAAAAATCAAGAAAATCTGCTGAAAGCGTTTGCCTTCTGCTGACGAGCATTTGCACCTAACATCCAAGTTAGGTTTAATGATTCTGATTATGATTGGCAATTTATTATAAAGAGAGCATATTATCTTAATATACTTGAATGGATGTGGGAGTGAATGACAAGAAAGTTTGAAAGAAAAAAAGAAATTATAAAATGAAAATATTTTGGAAAGATAGGAACAAAATCTGAAAATGTTTTTAAGAAAAGGGTACTAATAAGGCTCTTGAGAAAGGTGAAAAGAATTCAGAGGAAAAGGAATATTTGGAAGGACCAATTAGGATCAAAATTACTTTAGATGAGAATGATGATTTTATTTCTAGTTTTCTTAAATTGTCTAGTTGTATGCTAATTGACATTCAGGTATATCTTAAAAAATGCTTTTCTCATTCTGAAGTCAAAAAGGAAGGCTCACTTAAATTCTTCTTATAAAAGTGCAGTCTTAACGGTAAGGCCTATATATGATAAAATGTGAAAAAACTATTCAGAGACGAAAAAAAGCTCCTCCTCATTAACTATGAAAAATATGCATGAAGTAGCATATTACTGTATTATAGATGCACTGTACTGTCAAGAGATTTTGATAAACCAAAGTATAATAAATGATTTTAAAGAAGTTGCTTCTATAGCTTACGTTTTTTTTTTTGACACACACTATTACACAAACAGAATGAAGATACATAACCTTTTAGCATATGTGCTGTCAAACGAGATATGGTAATTAGTACAAGGATTTCTGAAAATATAGAAAAAGGAAATATCCTATTGCATATATATTTTTACCTAAAAAAGAGATTGAAATGAGAAGACCTATAACAGGATTAGATTTTACTTCATTATATCTCAGCATTATCATGACATATAATCTCTTCTCAGAAAAATTTATATTTGATCCTAAAGATGCTGATATTACACAAGATAATAGAAACAACTTGCATAAGATTGAGTTTTTGTTTAATAAAGACATTTTTCAAGCTTGATATATATATCATGATAGTTAAATAGAAAGAAAAACCTATATTCAGCTATATTAGAGGATTTATTTTAGAAAAGGCTGAAGCTTAAAGCACGTTTGACTTCATTAGGAAAGAAAAAGAGTCATCTTAAAAAGATGATAAGTTCAGCTAAAGAAAGAGGTAAAAGGATTCTAAAAAGCTTAAATTTAGAATATTTAACTGTATGCTTTGATTATAATTATTTTGATTCAAAGCAGAGAGCTTTAAAGGTATACATAAACACTTTTTATAAAGAAGCAGGAAACTCAAAATCTCTAATCTTTCTTTACAAATTAGCCTGTGAAACTATCACAGTGGGAAAATACAATCTTAATTTTGTCATAGAATTCGTATTAAAGAAAGGGTTTAGGTTAAAATATGAAAATACTGATTCTTTGTATCTCACCTGCCCTAATAGGTATTACAAAAAATGCAATGAGGCCTTTTCTAGAAAAGAACTTTCTAAAGAAGCGTATTGGCTGAAATAGTCAAGATTACTATGAATGTGATGAAAAAGTTGTGCAATCAAATAAATGCCTATCTTAGGATAAAAAGTGGGATCTCTTATTTAAAAATGACATACTAAGAGATATTATTTCCCATCTGCTTTACTGGTAAAAAGAAGTACTTCAGGATTAGGCATAAAGATGTAGTAAACTTTAAGCAGAAAAAACTTTTCATGAAAGGGATAGATACTGTAAAGTAAGATAAATTCCAGCTTTTCAAATTCATTGGAGAGAAGATTATGAGAAAGGCTATAGATATAAACAACATACACTCAATTCATGAAATTATTAAAAATACTTTTAGAGAAGCTCAAAATAAAGAATGGAATTTTAATAAATTTATTGTAATAGGAACATAGAAGCCTAAGAAAAAATCTTTGCAACAATCGCTTTATGGGACATATGAGAGAGAGAAATAAGAGAATTTCTGATCCTGGTGAACAGCTTAGCTATGTTATTGTGAAGGGTTCCTATTTTCATAATAAGAAAGGTGGGTTAATATCATATAGAGTTGAGAATTATATAGAGTACGCAGACATAGCAAAAGAGCAAAATATGAAAATAAATATCAATTATTATTTAGTCACTACAGTTGGAATGTATGCATACTTTATCAACGAGGATGATATATTTCAACTACTACCTTCACATAAAATTATGCAACTCAAAGATTCAGATGAGAAAGAAAAGTAGATCAATACTTATTCTCAGAACGAGGCAAAAAAATAGCTTAAAAAATATATAAAAAGTTTACAATAAATTTTCTAGGTATTACGATGATTCATCTGAAGCAGATATAGATGATATCATTAAATTAAGTATTGAAGATACCCCTCTAGGACTAGATATATTACTCGATAAGACTATAATAAGATCACTAATCCTATTTTTTAACTGAAATATCTCTTTATGAAGCCTAGATAATTCTTCTGATATCTGATCTTCTCAAAAAGTTATAAATAGCAATCTACACTTTGCAATTATTTCCAGATTATAGATTTTTATCTCTAATGCTATTATCTGGCTTTTAAGATCAGATATCTCCCGCTCTGAGATCTCTTTTATTTTATACAATCGAAATATCTCTAGCTCACTATGATATAAATTGCGCTTTAGAGATTGTATTTGACTCTCATATACTTTATTTTCAAATATTAGCACTGTTCTATCTTCTTTTTTATAGATAGTTCTATCTTTTTAAGAGATGAAAAAAGGATAAATAAAGAAACAAAGGTTCCTACAATCCAAATAGATCCTGATGAGGTCTAGAGAATCGAAAAAATATTATATTACGTGATATATATTATCACCTAACTAGGTATTATTCTAATCCTAAATCCTTAAGAGATGCATGTAAAAAAAAGGATATTGTTTCTACTTAAAAGAATGCCGTGATTTTTTAGAATGACAGCATATATACCAAATACATAAAACTCCTCTGAAGAATATTTCTAGATATAGCTATAGCTGAATAATCCGTCCAAATTGCATGCATACACCAATGTGATTTGCTATTCCTTACACATAATCATTATAAACGTAAAAATATATAGCAGTACTTAATATAATAGACTGCGTTTCCTGATATAAGACTTCTATTCTACTCATATTGAAGAAGAGTTCAGAAGTTGCTAAAGTATTCAGAAAAAAATATGATAATCCTAATAATTCTCTTGTATGGCCAGAACTTCTACAATGTGATGGGGTCATGAATTTATGAGAAAGACTTCTCAATTGATAAAAGAACATAATGTTACTATTTGAGTGATTGGTATATATTCTTATTGAGAAGTAGCTTTTGCAGAATGTTTTAACAAGACACTTACAAAAATACTTTATAAAATCTAAGATGCTGTTGAATCTATATATCCTAATTTGAAATTGATAAAAGTATAGGTTAGGCATTTGCCTATAGTTATCAATTATCTAAATATTTATCCTACACATCTTATTCAAAAACCAAGAACTAAGAAATGGGATTTTGCATCTGTAAAAGTTATCATATTAGAAAAGTAGAATCAAGACCATCCATAAAATATAAGTACCCAGTTAGAAAAGATGAAATAATGTTAAAGAAAGGTGATGCTGTTTGATATCTTCTTATTATTGCAGAATGGGAAAAGGTATAGAAAATCAGAAAAGAGCTACTGATCCTACATACAGTCTAAGTCTTTATAAAATCTGGAAAATTGTAATGATAAAAAATGAGCCAGTTTTATATTACCTAAATGGAGAATTTGCACCATCTTGCAGATTTGTGTGAAAAGAACTTATGTTAATAGTTGATCCAGAAAAAGTTGAATATTCACCTCAAAGTATATTATCTGTAAATTTCGTTTATGCTTCTTTTATCAATAGTGAGTTAAACCAAGCTATTAGTTATGCTTAAAGTATAGATGAGAGACGAAACCCCTTAATAACAGTCGAAACTTAGACGAAACTATATTAAAATCATAATAAGGGATACGACGAAACTCATTCGATACGACGAAAGCTGAAACTGTCGAAACTATATTAAAAACATAGAAAAGGGTATGACGAAATTATTTTGAGAAGATTTCGGCAGGCATCTATAGTTATAGTATATCATTATTAATAGTTAGTTTACCATGAAAATAAAAAAACTCAAGCCAATTAAAAGGTTTGTATACCATATTAACGAGATTAAAGATGCATATTTTAAAGAATAGATGATTATGGTAAAAATATATTGTTTTAACTGCGATGTCTAACAAATTATCTTTAGATAATGCAATTAGAATAGCTAAGTTTCTTAAAGGAAAGTGTCTTTCTGAAGAATATATTAATAGTAAAACTCTAATGCTATGGAAGTGTAATAAAAAACACCAATGGACTGCTCAATTTAATTCTATCAAACATCATCATACATGGTTAAGAATTAGCATATGCTAAAAATGGGAAATGCATTTCAGAAAAATATATTAATAATAATCTGCCTCTCTTATGAGAATGTACGAATAAATATAAATTTTATAAGAATATTAAAAATCAAGGAAGTTGGTGTCGTGAATATATGAAAATTGGACTTGAATTCGCCCAGAATCTCGCAAATGAAAGGGTGGAATGTGTCTTTCTAGTTCTTATTATAACAGACGTACTCCACTTTCTTGAAGATATTCTAAAGGTCATTCATGACTTGCTCGAATTGATAATATTTAAAGAGGAACTTGATGCTCACACTATATATGTGAATTTGCAAGACTTGGTATTGAATATGCCAAAAAATTAGCATGTAGTAAAGATAGGAAGTGTTTTAACCAATGTATATACCAATCATAAGATAACTTTACATTGAAAATACTTCAAATCGCATGAATGGCATGCTTCTCTTGATACTATTAAGAAAAATAACTCTTAGTGTCTGTATTGTGCTAATACAAAACTTGACATCTCAGTAGCTAAAGATATTACATATAGTCGAGGTGGAGAATGTTTGTCAGATTCTTATATCGATTGCAAGATTAAGTTACTCTGAAAATGCAATAATAATCATTAATAATATGCTACACTTTCTCATGTAAAAAAATAATGATTCATGGTGTCCATATTGCTCCAAATATAAACATGAAAGATTGTGTTGAGAGATCATGTCAAAATATCTTGAACCACCATCTAAGATACATCAACCTGATTTTCTCAATACCCCGAAGCATCCAAATGGTTTACACCTTAATATTTATTATCCATAGTATAATTTAGCAATCGAGGTGCAAGGAAAGCAACATAAGCATTACATTGAACATTTTCACCGAATTTAGAAGGGTTTAATAATCTGCTAGCTTGGGATCAACTCAAGAAGGAATTATGTGAAAAAAATTTGATTACCCTAAGGTACATCTGGTATTACGAAGTCTCACACATAGTTATTCTAAAGCATCTCCAAGAACTGGGCTTTATATAATAAAGATGAAATTTTAAATGTGTATATTTCATCATTAAAATCCTTATTTTTTCGATATAGTAATTTCATACTAAGCCCAATCAAAATGAAAAAAATGGAGTATTACATATACCATCTTAACGAGACCAAAAATCCAAAGAATATGAATCATCCTGCTAGTCCTGCGTTACCTTTTCGTTTGTTAATTTGCGGTGAATCAGACAGTAGAAAAACCAATATGATTCTTAATCTTCTTGGAAATAAAATTCAACGTTGGTTTAAGGAAAAGGAAGGGGAGCGATATATCAAGAATGACGATCTAGTTTTAATCGGAAAGCATATCCATGAGCCCAAATGGATATTGGTGAAAAACTGCTATGAAATTTTTGCAAAGGGTCCAAAACTATATCGGGAGAATGTAACATTTCGTGCATTAAAAGCGAATGCAATTCTAGACATAACTAAATTTTTTCCAGATAGGAATACAGTTATAGTCTTCGAGGATCTTTGTGCTGAATCAAAAAAAATTCAGGATCAGATTGTTCCATATTTTATTAGTGGCCGACATCAGGGTGTATCAAGTATATATATGAGCCAGAAGTATACACAAACCCCTAAAATTATTCGTGAGAATATTTTACACTTAGCTTTATTTCAAGGCTCAGGAGTCGTGAAGATATATGCAGAATTGTGTGTCAATATACGAATGATCCAAAAAAAGCATCTAAAATTATTGACAAACATTTGCGAGATCAGAATTTTGTGGTCTTCGATTTTACTAAGGCAACTAATGATCCTCTCACAATTAGATTAGGTTAGAACACGCCATTGGAATTGGATGGCTAGAGCTGGATTCATTGATCAAATAACACAATAATATAAATAAACCACATAATTAAGAAAATTCCTTATGTATTATTTGTTTTATGAGACCGTTTATATGGTGTAACTTTATCCTTGTATACAAGCTATACAAAATTCAGACTAGTTTTCGTGGTATAGTACATACATTTCAGCGCCAAAAAATCAAAATTTATTCTGACAAATATACACCCACACCAACCGCATTCACGCGTATATTCTAGAAAAAATATGATGATAATTACAGACATACAATTGTACGGATTGACACTAATTATACATAAGCAACAATTTGCTGGTAAACTGAACTTACGTCCTGCGATATAAAAACAATTGACACTATCTATTAGATATCTTCTCAAAAGCTTGAACTATATTAACAGTAATTAAGACTCAGGAGAACTAGGACATGGTGATGATGGATATGAATTCTGGGCATTTACTTCTACGCATATTTTAGCCTTCTTAGGAGTTTTTAAGTACAAAGGTATTTTTTTCGTTTAATGGTCACTTTCGAAACAAAGCTCCTTTAAATGATTTTGTGGTTTGTTTTTTGTATGCATCGCCTTCATCGTCTCTCGAACACAGCTTAAATTTATGAATATATCAGTTTATATTAGCACATATACATAATCATAAATCTAACCTTTGTATTCAGAACTGATGCCAGAATGTCCAAAATGTCAGGAAATTCTTCTGCATTATTTAGAACTTCCATCAGTTTACTATGTCGGATCCTACAGATGTATCCCTTCGGGTTGTCCAGGTATACCATCATAATCATCAAACTTATTAATTAAATATGTTAGTTTGAAAAATTGATTTTTTTTGCGGATACAGGGAGAAAATGTACCAGCGTGAATTACTCCAACCGTTTGGATTTTTGCACATTTCTCTTCATTCCAATCTGTTTTTGCCATCAATTTTACCAACATATCTTGGGTAACTTTAACCCCGCTTCTTTGAGAAATTTCATTCCATATTCATCCGTCCAACTTTTCCTGGCTTCCCTGGCTCCAAACTCATCTCTATCACCATTACCAACGAGCCTTAGGATTATGTCACCTCTGCGACCCATTTTCCGCCATTTTTCTGATTGTCTTTTCGCATTCTTTCACGTTCCTGATGCCAAACTTGTGCTTTCTCCTCTGGATTATTAGAACAGGAATCTTGTCAGATACATTAAGCAAGTTATATTTTTAAGAAAAATTACCTAACGACAGATATCATATTCATATCACCAAAGGCTTGATCGAAGATTGGGTTCCATACGTGACAATTAAACCAAGCCTCAAAATTAGCTACTTTCAAGCTTCTGTTTTCAATTTCTCTTAACCTATAAAAATAAATTTAGCCAATTCAACATATGAATGTGCAAGCCAGTCACAAGAACCGAAATACTTACAATGAATATATAACATAAATAATGTAATCCTTATCGTGATCTTTTTCGTGATCATAATTATCATCAAACATTGTTTCTTTTATAACCTTTTGAATACCTTTCAATGTCGACTACATCAGGAAAGAAAATTGATGACTTGTTGTGATACATTTTGTCAATAGCATGTAAATTAATTATTACCTTGTCAAGGAACTCCATCAGAAATTCATTTATTTCATCCAAAATATCAGGCACCTGTGAACCGAATGCGGAATCGATTTCATCACGTTCTTCTTTACTGTAAATGCAGTTTAATTGTCTCATCACTGATATCTAGAATGAAAAAATGAATAGCGCTGGAGATAAAAAACTTTCAATTCAGTAAATCATCTTGCATAACATAATTACAGCAGAATATAAATACTAACTGCTCAAATTTTAATATTTTTCCTAATTTGAATAATTCTTCTTCAACTTATTTTTCCATTGAGAGTTTCCACATTCTCTTTTTTCATGTCGTTATGTCTGTTCAATCATCCGTTTGTGTTCCTCCATAAACGGCTCATTCTAAACAGAAATTCTCATTATTGTCTAAAAAAGTCAAAAATTCTAATAAATATTTACTTTGTTTTCTTTCACCTTTTTATTGTCGGTCATTTTCACCACCACTTCTTCTTCAACTGTTTCCTTCACAAGATAGATAATAGTGAGAATAATAAACATTTGCGGCTAATAACACCCGCCAGATGTAAATACCTCATGATCTGATGTATCAAAATCACTTCTTTCCAAATCATCATCGTTCTCAGAGTTATATACATCAGTTTCTTTCTGTGTACATATCCAAAAAGGTTTAAGAAAAATGCTTTTCATGATAAACATTAATATAAATATAATTACCTCGAATTCAGGAGATATGGAAGGATCTGATGGACTGGGAATTTGTGGTCGTTGAGACTGTGAGTGAGAGTTATGTTGAAGGGGAGGAGTAACAGCACGTGATGGAGAATTATTAACGTTGGAATAAGGGGATTGAAAATTTTCACCACCTACTTCATTTGATTCTCGAGTCTATTCAAAATTCAGTTATTTTAAATTACTAGTCTGGTTTAATTCTAGCATTACTAGACGGAGATCATAAAAGTCATTGCATATGCATGAAGCATTTTATATTAACGTCAATTTCTTTTTAGAAAAGGAAAATTACAACTGAGATAACAAGAGAAGATTTCTAAACTGCGGTGTAAAATGATCAAATGAACAAAAAAGCGGAAATCTTTTCTGATGATTATGTAAGTTTCTATGCTTACTTTCGCTTGTTGTCTTCTTAAATCAAGCAAAGTAAGACCGATAGTTTTCAACGTTTAAGCCAGCTAATGAATCATTGGAAACAATTAATAAATGATATTAATAAAGAATATATACTAAGACAATGAATAATAGCAGATAGGAAAACTTACAATCATTCTTTTTTGGAAACTTTAATATGTTCTATTACAGAAGAATCGATACCTTTAGTATTTATGATTTTGGCAAGGCTTTGATCATATTCATTCAACACTTCTTGTGGCGTTATAACAGGATTTACGGTGTATATGAATTTTATAAAAAGGTCGACACGATTCCACCATCTCAAAGTTGTCTTAGTGAAGAACTCGTTAATTTCAGAGTTCTTTAGAACAAAATCCAACATAAACTTATCAAGCTTATTCATTCTGTTTGCAAATATAAATTTTGGTTAGCTATTAATAATTCACAGATTCATTTATCAGTTTTCTTGTACTTGTCATTGGGTCTAAGTTATTCAGTCACTTCATGCATGTTGAGACACATGGAGTTTGCAGGCAAACCCTGATATTACAGCATATTGACCCTCGCCACCCTTTCATGTTGAAACGATCAGACAGAGTGGTAGCCTCCTGCAACATAGACCAACATTCTCCCAAATGTAAGTTCTTTTCCGCAACCTCTTATCTTACACGTGTGTTGAACACGGAAGATTTGCATGTAAACTCTGAAACGTTAGTATTTCAGCATCCTTTCTGTCTGATCAAGTAAGCTACCTTTTTGTGTTGAACAACCAGGCAGGGCTTGGTGGTCCCCATACATCAAAAAGAGACGCAGGTACGCATAGATATTAATATCAATATCTATTAAAAATACTTAACTTTTGTAATCAAATGAGTAGAAAGAATTTTGAAGGTAGCAGTGATAAATTATATCTGATTAGTAAGTGTGTGAAATTATTTCATCGCACAAACACAGTTTCACAGATGATTTGTGAAGTATCACTTTAATAATTTTTCTAATAATCAATAAAAATAACTTACAATCTAAATTATTATAAAAAATTTAGTTGACTTTAAATTACAGTAACAAGTGTAATTAAATACTAATAATCAAGTAACCACGCCCTCCCTTCCGGACGTTTGATAACTGTATAATAGTTTAGTTTAGTTTAGGTTTTTTCTCTTTTCTTTTCTGTTTATAGTTTAGTTCAGTAAAATGCAAGGTTGGTATTAATAAAGTAGTTTAATTTATAAATTAATTTATAGATATTTTTGTGTTTTCTATTCTATTATATGTACCTAGTATTATATAAATTTAATAAAGATCATGCAAAACTGCCGCACTAAAAAAAAAAAAAATCTCATATCACTTTAATGAGAATTTAATTTATATCGCACACGCCTACATCAGTATTTTATTTTTTTTGACAAAATATTGAGCAAATAACTAAATATCATCAGGAAAAAATAACTAATATAATACATTTCTCTATATAGAACTACTTTTTGATTTATAAACTACTTCTAAAATTTATAGATGTTTTTTCTCCTGCAGGTGATACATTTCACGGGCTAGCACTGCCTATATAATAATACCGCTTATATCAATTTTTCGAGAACGTTCTAGCCATGCTTTATCTTTATACCACCAGTCTCTAGGCATCAGAGTATAGATCTCTATATCACACGGTCCCTTCTGGCAAACTATCTACTAATGAGATTTTCTTCATTATCTTGATAATATTTGGGATTCTATGCCCATTTTAACATGGTAGACCAATCTATCCAATTTTTATCAGAAATAAGAACATAACCTTCTTGTTGTAATAATATTCTAGCATGTTCAAAGGTTATCCAATGTAATCAGTATGCTAATTGATTTTGTTTCTCTTCTGCTCAAATTCTAGTAAAATAAAGGGTATGTTTATATAGCATGTGAAAATAATCAGCTTTCCCGTGGTGTTTTATTAGTTTTCTATTAATATAATAATAACTTTCATTATGAGAAATAATACTTAAATACTTCCATCTGTCAGGAGTACCATCATTTCTCACCACCTCCTAAACCTGTTTTGCCAAAGATTTGGATCTCTTTTTGTAATTCTTATAAACTCTTTGGATAACTACTGCATAGAAATTCTCAAACTAATAGTTATATTTTCTCACAATCAAGAATCCCAAGATCACTTCATTGATCTTCCTGAACTTGTCAAAAAATACTTTATTAAAATAGTTATAGATTAGATGATCTAACCCAGAATAGGCAGATCATGCATAGCGTCTGCAGGTCATAATTTCACTAGGCGATCATGCATACAAAGCATTACATGAGCAAAGTAAATAATAAATTGATTGATTTATTGATAAATATACATAAATATGAAATATATTATTTTAATAAAGAATCTATGCTTCAGAAAATTTGATGTACATATTCATAATTATTATTCAGATCTGAAAAATCTATATTAACAAACTTTCTCTTAGTAATATAATATCTAGACTTAAAATAGTCAATTTTTAGTGAATTACATGAATATAGGTTACCTGCTAATTTGTATTCATATCACGCATATTCTGAACTTTAACATAGTTTATATTCTCATTGTTGAAGTGTTTATAATATTCAGGATTTGCTAGCTATTTTGACATATAAGGCCAAATACCATATGTAACAAGTTTATAGCCTTTTAGGTATAATTCTATAAAAGCAACTATATGTGTTACATTATTTAATTATTTCTGTAACTGGTCTCTTTTTTTTTCTACCTAAATACTAGGATGATAATAATCATATTTCTTGTATCCTGTGACCCATTTGGCTAGATATTTTTTAATATATTTTTGAGCAATATTTTTATTATATGCTTTTTTAACGTAGTTGACATGATCATTGGTATACAAATCATATTCTTCTTGAGTCAGAGGATTTTATTTTCCATTTACTAGTTGAAAGTATACCTAAATATTTCATCCTATCAGAAGTACCATCATTTCTTACTATATTCTAAACTTGAAAGCTCTCTAAGCCTGTTGGATTATTTTTACATTATTAAATATATGATATGCAGTCTTTTTCTACAATTTATAGTCTGCATCACATATAATACTATAATTCTGACTAGAAAAATCAGTAAATTTATTACAAATCTTATAAATTTCATCTTTACTTAGTTCTAATGCTATTCTTCCTTCTTTTTTCATATTCTTTCATATAGGATTAGAATGCATTTAGCAGTTTTAGTAATATATTTCTTCAGATAATCATTATCACATTCAATGGTATTTTCACAGATAATTACTAAGGAGTCACATACAGTGCAATAAATATAAAATGAGCGTCTTCTAGCTTTAAATTCCTCATCTTTATATGATCTTTCAATCATTTGAATAAATCCATTCTTGGAGAAGTATTCTGGGTTATATTCAAGAAGTTTCTTAAATGGATAACGAATACGAGAATACTACATTTCTGGTGTTTTACTACTATACCTATACAGTCAACTCTTGATATAGCGAACTCTTAATATAATGAATTTTTTGAACAAATATAATAAAAATACTCTTGTTATAGCGAATTGGCCAATCAAATCTCTTAAAATCTTCACTATAGCCTTATAGTGAAGTTGAGATCTAAGACATAGAGTTCGTTATAACAAGAGTTGACTGTATTTCAGATTAGGATTTAAGCTAGAATAGTAATTAGTTTTAACTATTTTACGGGTGTAGTAAAATTATAGCAAATTATAGCTGTTTAGTGATTTATAGCATTTTTAGCAATTTATAGCAAGTATATTATAATAAATATCAGATTCATATTTTATTCAATTGTTTAGATTCCTATGATTCAGTTAAATTAGATCTGATTACTGTAGATAGCTAAATTATAAATTGTATTATATGTAATCTTCCTAAATCCCTGCTAATTCCATGACAGTTCTATAACATTTTGCTGGTACTTTTATGATGCTGAGTAGTTTCTCAAATCACAGGTGTTCAGCATATTATGTGGATTTGAAAAAATGGCTAAGCCATCAATTAATATATTATGAATGCTTAATTTATTCCCAATTCATTTAAATCATAACATATAAAAGTGAGCCCTGATAAAGTATACAAAAGCAATCCTATTTAATGAACTATTAAGGTTAGAAATCCCTAGAGTTAAGTCATATTCAAGAAGAATGGTATATACTTTCACAGCAAAATGCAACGATAATTAGGCCTTTTAATCTAAATTATTTTGTTAAAATATATAATAAATTATAAATCATATGTACACATTTAAAAAATAAGTGAAAAAAATTTTTGTAATACAAATAAATATATGAGAAAGACCAGCTGGTTAATGAAATAAATGATAAAAAATTGATAAATTATGACGATGTGTAATAATCAAATTTTATAATTTATGATAAATTATATTGAAATCTTCTGTATATAAAAAGATTATATAGATTATAAAAATTGAAATCGCTTTATCTATAAGTATAATTGGTAATACAATTACAAATAGCAGTAGTTGAAGGAATAGCCTTATTAATGTTAGCAGTAATCGCTATACCAGCCATAAATATAGCAACAGCTGTAGTCTTAAGATGACTTTCAATAAACTCGTTAACTATATTAACTGCATTTTTGACCATATCTTTAATAGCAATAGTAGCAGTGCTAAGAGTTCTACTTATTCTAAGAAAGAAAAGTATGAAGAATTTAACTAAATAAAAATCATAAAAATTATAAAAATAAACCTTACTCATAATGCATTTCATGATATTATTGGGATGACATTTTATTGAAAAATATTTATAGTATATTTTAAAAATATTTATGAAAGTTGTAGAAAGAAAACAAATAGTATCACTTTTATACTGAAATTACTGCATATGAAAATGAGACATTAGTTTTATCATATCAAATAAAAAAACATGATCTTATTAGTATTTTAAAATTAAAAATTACATATAAATGAAATAACTAATTTGGATTATCAAAATGTAAATAAATTATATATTAATAAATTGTGTCTTAGATACAGTATTAGAGATTATTTTAAATGAAGCATAAAATGAAAATTATTTTAGTTGTTCGATTGTTTACACGCACAATATCACTTTATACATTTCTCTCAAATAAAAATATAAATTGGGAATCATTTATTTATTATCATGAGAGTTAATAATCATCTAAATAGTATATGTATAGATTTATATTTACATTTGCAAAACGTACACATTTTAAAAATCAATCAAAATATTCTTTATTGCAAAGTAATACATGAGAAAGGGCTGGCCGGCTATGTAAAAAAATGAAACTAATAAAAGATATTGAATTAGCAGGTTATTTCAAAGAAGGAATTTTACCGAACCCTAACCTATATAATAACAGTTTCTTTCCCACTTCTTCGCATTATTATTAAAACTAGCTATCCATGTATTTATCTGATTAACAGTGCTAATTTTACTATCATTAACACCATTATAAAAATTTTTCACTGTTAAAATCTTAATATTTTCTTCAAAACTATGAATATCAACTAATACTAAGAAGCACATCTCATCAAAAGTATAATTCCTTGCCTTTATAAGTTGATCAAAGTGTTATTTAAAGCAAATTTTAATGTCTGAAGTAATATCTAAAATTTCAGATAAATTGAAACTTTCAAAAGAAAAAAAGCTTAAAGACAAATTAGTTAAAGCTGAGGTAGAATCTCCTGAATTTCCCAATTCAGCTTTAGAATCATTAGTCATACTTTGTTAATCAAATTCAGTTCTTTAAACTATTGCGTAATATTGATTTATTTTTTTTAGAGATCTTTGATAATAATATTAATTCTGTTAAATTCATTATAGCAGGCTTCTTCAATATTATCAAGTCTTGTGACCACATTATTGACCATCAAAAAAATCCTCTACGTCTTAGAGACGTAGTCAGCATCACGTAAATTAATTTTAACGATTTCTCTGATAAATTTTTTATTAAGTTCATTATTGTTTTTAACAAGCTTTACAGTGAAAGTAGAATTAACTTCAAAAAGACATGTGAAAAGTTTGTTGGCAATTTTAGTGTTAACTTCAGTGCTAAGTTTTTGTAGATATTAGTAAGAAGTTTTTCAATTTTCGCAGTAATACTTCTATCACATATCTTATTTTTTCAATTTTTATGGTAAGAACACTATTAATTTTGATCATATGTGCAGAAAGCTCATTAGCAATTTTATTATCATGTGTAGAAAGGTGATTGGAGAATTAGTTTCTGATGACATAAATCAAGAAATAGGTGCTAAGAAGAATAGAAATTGTAAAGTTTTCAAAGATATGCCACAAGGTATTGTTTTGCAAGATAAGTGCAGACATATTTTTAGAGTGAAGTAGAAAAAATATGTTTAGGTATATTAGAATCACAAGTAATTTTGCGTAATTTTTTACGATTTATTAGTATGATTTATCACTAGTGAAGCTAAAGATGAATTCACATCCTTTTTATACATTTTACAATCAGTTTCACAGTAAGGATCCTAAAAGAATCACATATTAATGCTAGTATAATTAGAAGAGAAAATTCGCGTCAAAATACAGGCCTAGAATAATTGTGAAAATGATATCATGTTCATATCCCTATTTCTGAAAAAAGAAATGTTAAAATCCAGAGTAGCACCTGTACTTAAAGACAAAAAAGTTAGTGCATTCTCATATTCACAACATATTCAAGCAATGAAATAATAATAACTTTTTTTTTTGTAAATGTTTGGTTGTGAGGTCTTATGCAAGAGAAAAGTTTTTTATTAATAAAATTTCACTAATAAATCGCTACAAAGGTTTCTTTATATAGAGTACAGTATCTATATTATGTAAAGTGTCTTCGACTAAAGTCCACTCTCATTTCTATTTACTTAATTCATTTATGTCTAAAGAAAGAGAAATAGAATATATTTAATGAGATACTGTTTGCTTCAATAAACTGTCTATATGAAAATAGTGTGTTGACCGAAGAGTGGGATCCTAAAGAGACCTTCCAGCTAAAGGTCAAAATGATTTTTTTTGTTATTTTGAAAATAAAAAAGGTAGGCTTCTCTTCATTTGTGATTGATGCAGTTCAATATAAAAATTGGTATTATTAACATATAATATAAATCAAAAAGTAAAGAAAATAGGCAATTATCAAACAGATCCACATGAATATTTTTGCGAAAAATTAGCTATTCTAGAAATAAAATTATCAAGAGCATTAACATAAATTTTACACTTCTTGTACCTCACAATTTGCAAATATACATAGCTTATCTAATAAAATATACTGCTTATTTGATATGATCCCTTCTTTTTAAGTGAAAAAATTATGCTAAAAGTAAAATTCGATGAATATGCTAAACTGATATGCTGTAAACTTATACTAATAGAGTAATGGTATATCTACCATTTATTATCTAGATTAGCTAATATGAACTAACGCTTTAGTAACCTTATCAGTGATATCATTACCATCGATTTCTAAATGTCTTAAATTCAGAGATCCTTTGATGATAGCTATAATCAATTCATCATTCCACAAAGCCATAGCCATACTAAAGTTAAGATACTCTATTTTGAAGCATCTTCACATCAAAGTATTAGTATCATGAACATCCCTCTTTCTATATGCAATATTAGGATTTCGTAAATTTGAGCATGAGTTTAAGATGCAACTTATAGATTTATTTATAATCTGACATGCTTCGGCAAAATGGAACTCTTGTAAATTATGACAATTATCTGCAATTACAAATAAAGATTTATTGGTAATATTTCTGCAGAAAAAAATATTTAAATATTTTAATTTACAGTATGATTATACGATCACACTGTTAACCTTACGCTCAGCCGTCGAACTTAAGGTAACTATGACTTAATAACAGAGAGTAACATGCGAGAAACTACTAAGTTACTATGGAATAAGTCCTATCACAATCAACCTTAGGTTTATACTTTAGACAAGTAAAATAACTTTAACAACTTGTAAACACAATAAACACAATTGACACATTGAAGGATTTTTAATATGTGTAGTTTAGAAAGAGATTCCTTTATTGTAGAGATTTGTATCCTTAGCAATCCTTAACCTTGGATTCTAAGTCTTAAACTCGAACTATTGAGTTATCACTGTTATCTCTGCCCTTTTACAAGGACAAATTTCTATCCTATTTATACAAAAATACAATTATAAGAAATTGCTAACTAATGCTAAACTATTTTATAATGATAAAATAAATATAAAAGATAAATTATAATTTAACGATGATAATAATTTAATAAATAATAATAATAAAATATAAGAATAAAATAAATTAAATAAAAATGTTGACTAAGTTAAAAATACTAATGATATTAATAATGTTGGTCATTCATCAATCTTTGTGGCGCAGTAAGATTAACTTCACATAGTATCAATTTTCTCCTCTAAATTTGCAGTTCCTGCAAAAATTTCATAAGCTTCGTCAACCAAATTCTTGAAATCCTGAGATTTGAGATTATAAATCATCTTAAGAGTTATTTTCCTAGTACATCTGATTTGTGCGATTCCCAGAGTTTCAAAAAGATAATAAGTTCTTTTTGAGGCCTGTCGATAGTATAAGGTCATTTGATTTCTAAATTGAGTTCGTTCTGCTGGACTTGAAGTTTCTGTCTCCATTACTTGTCCAAGATAAAATGCATTAGCTAAAGCTAATACTCTATTTTTTAACCTGGTAGCTCGTAATAAAGCTCTATAAGTAGTTTTGACTTTTTGCACGGTTGAGTCAGTTTCCATGTAAGGTGGAGGAATATTGGTATCTGCTAGGATGTTAACAGCCATTAAATCATCTTTAACTTCTTGAAATAAGGTTATCATATTGAAAAATTTTGAGAAATTTTTAAAGGAAATCAATTCTTTATATATAGAAAGTATTTTGAAAAAAGACATAATGAGATTTTACCTGAAATCCTAAAGAATAGACTTATTATGAATAAAAAAGCCTATAAACTTACGAGTAAGCAGATTATAATAAAATGCTACAGTATTTTTCAGGAGTCTCTCATGTAAACTTGCACAAAAACCCAGTTAATTAAGCCTATATAACAATCTGAGGTTCCCAATTTTGGCGATCATAATAAGGCTTTAATAGATTTCTATTTACAGGTGTACGTAGCACTCTTCCATCTATCTCTCTTATCTTATACAATCCATTCATTAAAACCTGATGGATATAGTAAGGTCCTTTCTACTTTGGGTTCAGTTTACTAGACCATTGCTTATCTTTAGCTGCATCATAGTAAAGGACTTTATCTTCAATCTCAAATTGATAAAGATGATCAATTTGTCTATCATGACGATTCTTTTGTTTTTGTTGTACTATTGCAATATGATTTTTTGCAATTTCTTTAGTTTGGGGTAATTGATCAACTAAATTTTGTAAATGTTTAGATAATGTGACATTTGGATCGTTAAGATCATTCAGGGTAATGTTGCATTTCTCCCATGTACAAGATAAAAAGGAGATATTTTTGTGACTGAGTGTTTGCTTGTACGATATGCAAACAAAGTTAGTGCAATTTGTAGATCCTAGTTATCTAGATCTTGTGCAGTTTTCACTAAAGATTCACACAATGTACGGTTAAAACGTTCCACTAAACCATTTGTTTGGGGGTGGTAAGGTGTTGATAGTAGATGTTTGATTTTAAACTTATCCATCAAATCCTTAATCATTTGTTATTAAAATGGGTTCCTCTATTAGAAAGGATTTTTGTAAGGCATCTATGACGACAAATTATATATTCATAAATAAATAAGGCAACCTGTTTCGCAGTAGCTTCAGGAACAGCTTTGGCTTCAGGCTACTTAGTAAAATAGTCGACTGCTACGATGATATGTTTATTTCCATTTGATGTTATAGGTAAAAATCCAACGAAATCTATACCAATTTGATAAAAAGGTGCTTGAACTGGTATAGGATGTAGCTCTTCATGTTTCCTTGGCTTTCCTCTTCTTTGGCAGCTATTGCAAGAATGAACATATTCTCTAATATTTTCATATAATTGTGGCTAGTAGTATCGTTCTTTGATTTTATCGAACATTATATCCACTGCAAAATGTCCAGCAGTTGGATCATTATGCATTATATAAAGTACAGCTTCCATTTCATATGATCGAATAACTCTGAGAAGCTTTTGACGAACATGTTTATACAAATAATTATTTTTAATTTTGAAATATCTAGATTGTTTAACTAATTTTTGTTGCTGAGTTGGTGTTAAATCGTCTGGTAAAGTTTGGTTTTATAAATAATTAAAAAGATAATTATATTGTGTTATATCCATTTTAAGCTGTTTGTCACACTGCAAACACTTCAGCTTTTACTCAAATAAATATATTTTAATAAATGTTGAGATGGATAGGAGATTAATAAGAGGATGGGGGAATAATATCTAACATTTCATAAAGTTGAGAATATGCATTTTCTTGTTGTACTAGAACTGGTTCTTCTCACCATACATCATTAACTAAATAAGTTGGTTTCATATCAGGGTGAATTTTTCCTCTATCCTATAATACAATCATGAATAATTGTACTATAAGGTAGATTCTTTTTACACGCTTTACAATAAGTGTGAATATGACGATTTTCAGTATCACAGGTGAAAGTACATTGAGATCCACTTTTGGTAATAGGTTGATTGGCTATGACTGATTTAATCTTAATATTTTCATGATATATATCTTCCATTTTATCCTTTGGACTTTCGTATCTAACTGCAGTAATTAAGAATACGTTAGAGAATTGTTGAAGTAATTATTCCTCAAATCATATTTCTTCATTATCTTTAATAGAGTTGGTATGCCATTTATTCTCTGATTCTTCAACTTCCTCTGTAGTTACCATGAAGACTTCATGTGTATTATTTTTATATTTTTGATCATTATTAATTTGTGAAAGGGCATCAGCATTAGCATTTAGTTTTCCAGGCCTATGCTTAATTTTAAAATCATATTGTTGAAGTTTCATGATCCACTGTACTCTCCTTTCTTTAGGAATTTTTGATGTTTGTAACCATTTAAGAGCTGAATAGTCAGTAATAATAGTAAAAGGTTATGAGTTTAAATAATGGTAAAAGTATCTTATAGCCCATACAACTGTAAGGCATTCTTGATCAGTTATTCCATAATTTTGCTCCACTTTGTTCATACTTCTGCTAGCATATGCTACCACACAATCAAGCCCATTTTCTAACTTTTGAGAAAGAACAGCTCCTAAGCCATTTCCAGAAGTGTCAATATATAAAATAAATGGTTTATTAAAATTTGGATACTGCAAAATGGGTGCAGTAATTAATTTCTCCTTTAAAATATCAAAAGCTTTTTATTGAGTATCTGTCTACGAGAACGGTTCTTCCTTTTTCAACAATTGAGTTAAAGGTTTGGCAATTTTTGAGAATTCTGAAACAAATCGTCGGTAATATGAGAATAATTCTAATGCAGACCTTAAACTTGTTAAGTCAACTGGAATGGGAAAGCTTTTAACTTTATCAATTTTTACAGGATCGGGTTGTAATCCATTTCTTCTAACTACATGTCTTAAGTACGTTATATTAGGCAGGCAAAAATGACACTTTTAAGCTTGATCATTAAATTCGCTTGCTTGATCGCATAAAATACTTTTCTCAAGTGTTGAATATGGTTCTCATAAGTTGTTGAGTAAATAATGATATCGTCCAAATAGACAGCAACAAATTCATACAAGAATTCTTGAAGAATATGGTTCATTAACCTTTGAAAGGTTGCTGGTATATTCTTTAGTCCAAAGGCATAACGTTGAATTCATATAGACCAAACTGAGAAATAAAAGCAGTTTTTTCTTTATCCTTTTCACTCATTTCTACCTGCCAATAACCACTAGCAAGGTCAAGTGTAGAAAACCAATTTGCTCCTCTGAATTTCTCTAATAAATCATCAATTCTCGGTAGAGAATATGCATCACTTTTAGAAATAGAATTTAGTTTTCTATAATCTATGCAGATTCGTTTATCTCCAGTTTTCTTTGCTACTATAATTACAGGAGAAGACCAGTGACTTAACGACTTCCTGATAGTTCCATTTTCTTTCATACGCTTGATTTCATTTTTGAGAAAATTAAGTTTTACTAGGTCCTTATATTTATAAGCTTCTGTGGTAACTGGATCATGATTATTGGTCAAAATATTATGTTTTACCAAACTAGTTCGTCTAATTTTTGTTTGGCTTAAGGCACATATATTTTCATAATCATCAATTGATTTTTGAAAAGACGTTTGCTGCTTGTTATCAAGAGGTCTAACTTGAAGGTCATCTTTAATTTTCCAAATATTTTCTTTAGAAGTTTCAGCAAGAAATACTGCTGGATTAGTCTCAAATTCTTCCTTAAATGCTAGAGTTAAATAAACAGGATTTTCTTCATTCCAGGGATTGTAGTCGAGAGGTAGAAGGTCAGTTTCCTCCTCATATTCTTCTTGACTATTTGCTATATATGCTTCAATTTCGCTAAGTTCTTTTTTCTCATAATCGTCTAAAACTTGTTCTAGTTCATCATCTTGTTGATCTTGAATAGTAGGATAACTAACAGGAACTTCATTTGCACTAGAAGTCACAGGAACTGTGATTGTTTTCGCTAAGTATCTCAACCTAATTTGGTTGATTCCGAAATTAAGGCTAGCATGAGTTTTTCTAAACTAATCTATTCCTAAAAGTAGAGTTTCATCTTGAGAGTCGATAACTTATAAAGAAATAGGAATTAATAGGTTTTGGATAGCAATTTGAGCTCTTTTAACTTGTTCTAATGCTCTAGTCTTTTCTCCATAAGCAGTGACTATAATAGTATTAGACTGTTCATCAATAGATAATCCTACTTTCTTCATTAACTTCCTGGTGATAATGCTGACAGCAGCTTCAGAATCTAAGATAGCAACAACAGGGTTTCCTTTAATTCTAACATAACAACGAACAGCTGTAGATTTATCATTTTTTTCTTCATCACTTTTCTGATTAACATAATTTGTTTCTTGAATTTTTGGTTTCCTCAACCCTTGAGCAAGATTACGTCTTTGATTTGAATATTGTAAAAGCTGGCCAATTTTTGCAGAAGAAGGCATTTGTAATAAATCTTGCATGATATTATAGGGAGCCATTTAATCGATTTAAGATGGTCTTCATTTAACTTTCTTCTTTTGAGTAGGAGTAATAATTTGTGGGGTTTCTACTTTCATGAATTCATTAATGGGTTTTCTGCTTTTCAAGTTTAGTTCCCTTCTGGATTCAGATTGTTTCTTTCTTTCTGCTTCTAATTGTCAAGCAGTTTTCTATTAGTGGTATAAGGTTTATTTCGTAGGAGGGCATAAACTTCTTCTTCCTCTACTTCTTCAATTTCTTCTTCTTCGCTATCTGTAAAAACTCCAACATAACTGGCTTCTTTTTTATCAGATTTCCTTCGATATACTGGTTTTTCAGACATACATTCTTTTGAATAGTATCCTTTTTCTTGACAACGATAACAAATAACATCCTTTTTATCCTAAACCTTTGTATCCTAAACTTTTGTAAGATTACTATCATCTTTTGGCTTACTTCTTTCAGGTTTTTCTCCGAGTTGTGCGGATAACGCATTGAAGAAAGTTGCATAGTTTAAGGATAACTGTTCTATTTATTTGGTAAGATTATCAATAGCATTATTGCTTCCACTTGGTTGAGTTGGTACAGGAGATTGCTGTTCATAATATTGGCCACACTCAACTTATTTAGCTGCATAAATAGCTTCTTCTACATTCTTGGGATGACTAAATGCTACAAGAGGAATGATATTCTTTCTTAATCTATTAAGAAAAAGTCTTACAGTATATTTATCTGGTAAGGCACTAAAAGAGTCGACTTTTTTTAACAATCTTTTAAATTTTCCTGCATAAAAATCCACTTTTTCATAAGGTCCTTGGCGAAGTGTATTTAATTGATGGTGCCATAGGTTTTGCTTTTCTTCAGTCAAGAATTTTTCTAAAAATAATGGTACAAAACTTGCAGCAGTATTACCATCTGAACTCCAGTAAGTAATAGTATTGACATTTTCTTCAAACCAATATGCAGCTAGTCTATGCAGATATCCTGGTACAATTTTTAGCATTTGAGCTTTAGACCAATTATTTGCTTCAGTAGCAATTTCAAAGCTTCTGATTCAATCATTAGGGTCTTCATCATCATTCCCATAGAAAGGTTTTACTGTAATAATATTACTTTCTTTTGATGTAGCGTTTCCACCATGTCTACCCAAACCAGATGGTGTATTTTTAATATCTTTAGCAAGATCTTTGAAACTTTTTGTCATGTAGTCCATGAGATTCTTTAACTGTTCATTATTCATTGTTGTTTCAATTAATTCAGAGGTTGTAGATGTAGAAGTAAGGGGTGAGATAGAAGTATTAAAAGATCTTTCGAAGCACTCAGTAGTGTGAGTAACTAATAATAAGTGTTGTAAAATGGAAGGTAAATCAGCAGGGTATAGGTAATAATTTAAACAATATAATAATGCGATTGTTGCTTTTATCGTTTTATTACTATTATAAGCGTTTTCACGATAACTATATAAATAAAGTTTAAATGCTGTTAAAGAGCAATTACTGAATGTCGTAGTATTATATTCACTAGAGATCCAATTCCAAAAGTTTTTAAAATTCTTTGTTACTATTTGATTAATGGGATTATACTGCACACAAAATGCGTCTTTTTCCAAAGGTGAATTATTTCTGTATGCTTCTTTATGATATTCTTGGATTATATTTAGAATGTCAAAACTAGTAGGTATATTCATATAAGTTTAATAAAGACAATTATAATTCTAGCAGGAATTACCAATTTGTTAACCTTATGCTCAGCCATCGAACTTAGAGCAACTATGACTTAATAACAAGGAGTAACGTGCGAGAAACTACTAAGTTACTATGAAATAAGTCCTTTCACAATCAACCTTAAGTTTATACTTTAGACAAGTAAAATAACTTTAACAACTTGTAAACACGATAAACACAATTGACACGTTGAAGGATTTTTAATATGTGTAGTTTAGAAAGAGATTCCTTTATTGTAGAGATTTGTATCCTTAGCAATCCTTAACCTTAGATT